TATCTATCTATCTATCTATCTATCTATCTATCTATCTGTCTGTCTGTCTGTCTATTTGTTCGTCCGTCAGTCCGTCCGTCCCTCTGTCTGTGTTAATATCTATTTCTGTCTGTCTATCTGTCTGTATTTCTGTCTGTTTTTCTCTATCTATCTATCTATCTATCTGTCTGTCTGTCTGTCTATTTGTTCGTCCGTCAGTCCGTCCCTCTGTCTGTGTTAATATCTATTTCTGTCTGTCTATCTGTCTGTATTTCTGTCTGTTTTTCTCTATCTATCTATCTATCTGTCTGTCTGTCTGTCTATTTGTTCGTCCGTCAGTCCGTCCCTCTGTCTGTGTTAATATCTATTTCTGTCTGTCTATCTGTCTGTATTTCTGTCTGTTTTTCTCTATCTATCTATCTATCTGTCTGTCTGTCTGTCTATCTAGCTATTTGTTCGTCCGTCAGTCCGTCCCTCTGTCTGTGTTAATATTTATTTCTGTCTGTCTATCTGTCTGTATTTCTGTCTGTTTTTCTCTATCTATCTATCTATCTATCTATCTGTCTGTCTGTCTGTCTGTCTGTCTATCTATCTATCTATTTGTTCGTCCGTCAGTCCGTCCCTCTGTCTGTGTTAATATCTATTTCTGTCTGTCTATCTGTCTGTATTTCTCTGTTTTTATCTATCTATCTTTCTCTGTATTTATCTATCTATCTGTCTGTCTGTCTGTCTGTCTAAATCTAAATTATGTGTCTATGCATCTGAAATTAAGGTAAGACTAAATAAACATTCTGTATACCAAAACCATCCACTGCAATTCCAGTGTATAGGCATTCTTTTTAGTTATATAGATCCACTAATTCCCCTCTCTTTCTTTGCACTTATTTTCTCTCAGTGCTGCAGCCAAGAAGAAAGATGGAGAAAAGGCCCAAGAATCTCCTCTGGTTTCACTGCTACCACGTGTCTATTGTCTGTCAAGGGCTGTGGTGCTTTCTTTGGGTTCTGAATGAATCGAGATGCCTTTCTTTCTTTCTCTTACTCTCTTTATCGCTCTCTCTTTCTCTCTCTAGGGTTTGTCTTGGGTTAAATAAATAAGAGCGCATGAGGAACGCTGGCTCCGGTTCCTGTCATGCTGGGCTGCTCCAGAACACACTGATCTCGGCAAGTCGCTGCCCAGCACAGACTCACAATCTGAGTGATATGACATGTTTGTGAACTTCTGGTATTGCCAAGATGGTAGAAAAACAATATATTTTTCAGAATTTATATACTTTCTTTTTATGTATAATAGCCTAAACAATTATTTAGAATAACATTATTTAAGACAAAGTAATTTTTGAGATGCTTTAATAAATGTAAATGGTGGTTGTAGCTGTTCACTAAGTAAGGCAAATGTTCATAAAGAAGGCAAATATTCATGAATTCCATATAAAATGCTAGATTCTGATCAATTATAGTGTTCAGAAGTCAGATGTTTCTTAATATTTGTCGTCCTCATGGTAACGTTTTTTTGGGTAACTGAAACCAGCGCCATCAACACAACTGCCTCCATCTTACTTCTCAGTTATGGATAGTGAAAATGACGTCTGAGGACTTCAGTATTACTATTACTGTAGCCTAATATAGTTTTGTATATTGTAAGGTACTATTTCTTTGAGAAAAAGTCATTTCTAAAATATTTTCAACTCAAATAATTATTTAATGTCCACGTGTTAATTTATTTGGTGAGCAGCCATGTAAAATGTAATGGTACATTTTTTATTTTTTATCCATTGAAACCATAACAGTGCAAAATTTGAGCTTAACCAGTTCAACAAGGGAGTACAAAGCAGTGGGAGAACAAATGATTCTCCCAATAGGCAATGGGAAATAATTTGTTTAGCAGAAAAAGTGTTTAAAATTCTTATTTTGTTGTCTCAGATTTATGCTGACATAATGCGTAAGCCATAATGTTAAAAAGGATGAGAAAACGTATACATTATTCATGGTTGTTCTCCATTGTTCTAATTTCCATGGTTTTGAACACAATTTCAGATTTCTCACGTGGATTCATTATTTTAATAAGGTTTGGGAGATCTGTCCTAAATGTAGCTATAACAATGTGGAAAGGAAAAAAAATGCGACCCTGTAGTATTTTATCTAATCAGTAGAGGACGCTATTTACCTCAGAATATGATAGACTGCATGTTTTAATGCAAGTTTTTCCTGCCCACACATCTCCCACAACGATCTGTTTCGTTTGTTAGAAAAACATATTAGATTATTTATGTAGAGTATATTCTTAGAATAGTAGTAGTAGCCTAGTAGTAGTCGTAGTAGTATATACAGTGGGTACGGAAAGTATTCAGACCCCCTTAAATTTTTCACTCTTGTTATATTGCAGCCATTTGCTAAAATCATTTAAGTTAATTTTTTTTCCTCATTAATGTACACACAGCACCCCATTGTGTGTGTGTGTGTGTGTGTGTGTGTGTATCATTGCAGGGGCTGACAAGACGTATGTGCACTGCTGTAAGCATGGGGAAAGGCCTCTGTCTGATTAGCATTCAGTCCTTGCACAGACTGCATCAAGGAACTCCACGGCCAGACCCCTCCTCTCTCCTTCACTTTCTCACTCTCTCCCCCTCTTTCTGCATCATTCTGTTGAACCAGAACCACCCAATACAAAACAAAAGGAACACCTTGTGTGATAAAGATTTCGGCAACAGGTAATTGTTTTAATTATTATTATTATTTTTAGAGTTTTCATTTTTCTAAGTTGCAAGAGCAAGTTACTAGTGCAAAGAGATTCAGACAACAAAAGGAGAACAAATCAATATGCATGAAGAAATTTTAGATGTACAGATGCTTTGAGTATCATTTGAAGAATATTTAAATAATATCAGTTAAACAATATGTTCTTTTGCATCCTAATTGTGATTTTTTTTCCCCAAGACATTAGTCTGGACACACCTGTGGCTTGACTTCAGGGTTAATTTTTTTAATGCATTTGATTATATACAAACTATATGTGTTTGTTTTAAAGTTTTTTTATGTTTTTTTTTTATTTTTATTCTCTTATGCTTACCAATTTTGCATTTATGTGATCAAAAATAGAGTAAAAACTAATATTGTGAAATATTATATTATAATTTTAAAATTTTTTTAAAAAACTTTATTTTAATAAATTTTCAAATATAATTTATTATTATTATTCTATGATGCTGATTTGCTCTACAAGAAACATTGTTATTATTATTATCATTGTTGAAAACAGTTGTGCTGCTTAATATTTTTGTGACAACTGACAACATTTTGTTTTTCAGGATTATTTGTTAAATTTCAATAGAACAGCATTTGTTTGAAATAAAAATTGTTTGTAACATTATAAATCTATTTATTGTTACTTTTGCAATTTAATGCGTCCTTTCTGAATAAAAGTATTATTTTTTTCCAAAACCTTTGAGTGATAGTGTGTATATACAGTGCAGAAATCAAGCAGAAATACTCCATTTTATACTAAAATCCTATCAATTTAAAAATCAGTTGAATTGTCCTTAGGCCTAATTTTTGAAGAAATATATGGGTTTCACAGAATTATAAAAGAGCATAATATTAATATTTCTGATTATTAATCTCTCTTTGGTTTAAAATGTCTGTATGATTATCTACTTTCATAATTTTGTATAACTTATTGCATTATTTTTTGCCTTTGTGTCGGATGTATCATTGTATAAGGCCATTGGAAAGAAGCTAAATAAAGACTGTCCAGATCTGACTGATGAGCCGGTGTGATGTACTGTATGTGACCCCCCCAAGTCAGTCCAGACGTGGACCAGGTAAGCCCGGATCTGTTTCATACATCATCAACACCTTTCCAATCTGAGTCACAGTCACCCGGCCAAGCAATCGCTCAAAGAGATGAGCTTGACCTTTCTGCAGGAGGCTCCAACTGAGACACCAAAGGCAGAAGTGATACAAGTCTTGAGAGTTTGCTAAATGTCAGATCTCTCATTAGTAGAATTGACCAGACTTGAGCAGGTTAAATCTTTCTAAGTGATGTCTATAATTACCACTGGTGAATGTGAACAAACAGCAAAAACCATTAGCTGCAACAATGCTAAAACCGAGTTTTAGACAAACTGTACCGGACATATGGTCAACATAATGACTGTATTGTGAATAAAAGTCATGTGGGCGTGTATGGAGACGTTGTTTTGACTATAAGTAGCATTCGTGGAAATTTTTTAAGCCAAAATTAAATTAAATTGTACTGTATAAACAAGTTCTTAGCAAGTATTTTATCTTACTAGCTCAATGCACACTGAAGTATATGATAATTGGACATCCAGAATGACGTGCTTATCTGCTGCTTGCTTCAAGAGAGCAAAGGCGGCCGAGACATTACCTCTGTGGTTTGTTTATTCAGCAGCCCAGCATCTATTCAGTTGTTTGAAAAGATAATCCACCCCCACATGCAGACCG